AGGACCATAATCTTTTATCAGAACATGGAACTATTCATTTTTTATGCATATTCGGGCCTTTTAATATTTTTTTTGTTTTTTTTTTATGTAAAAAACTTTACATAATAAATATATTATACTTTAAATGAACACGCATGAACCTATTACAAAAATTGGCACTTTGAATTGATGATTAAAACGCCCGGTTTTATGAAGCTAAATAAATTAGAAAGCTTTTTACAAATAATACAAGAGGTGCTGTGTAAAAAACATGCTTTACCATTGCAAAAAAAAACATGAACTGGCATACGTCTGTCGTTGAAACAACATTTAAGTTTGTCATGTTGACAAAGAGTTATCTGGTTTCACATGTTTTATCTTGGAAAAAAATAGTAAAATATATGACTAACTTAAAATAGGTACGCGATCGGTGCACGTGCATAGCTTAGAAAATTGATGACGTATTGGTCATAGCAGAGTTTCGAGAGCAGTAACGGATAAAAATGTACGAGTAAGTTTTTAAAGTTTTTAAAGACTGCAGCAAAACTATACTATTACTTAAACGGATAGCTGATCTGCTGGCACAAAAGAGAAAGCTGCAATATGGCATCACGCTAGCGTGGATGCGTTGTAAACTGTCTTTCGCACTGTTAGGTCAGCAATTACCGCGATACGAGGAAGTCGATCTGCCTCAACTCGCGAACACACTTTAAATATTGACCTATATATTACTCTAAAAACATCCTGGTTAAAAAATCCTGGTTGAACGAATTTCAATCCCAAATATGTTAACTCAGATTTTGGTTAAAATCCTGGTTAATTTTTAGTTCAACACTGAACTACCAGGATCCAGGTTAAGAAAAAATCCCAAATGGCGGCTCACTAATTTTCGGGACGAAATAATCAAAATTTGTTTATAATTTGCGCCATTAATGCTTTTACAGAAAGAAAAAAAATAAAACAAACTTTTTCGGGTGCCGATATACATATTTAGAAAATTTGAGAAGATGCCAATCGTTGGAAAACGCTATTTAAATGCTGTCATTTGTTTAAGGAGTGGGGAAAACAACTAGTATATTGCATGCAGCTCATGACAACCTCCGAGTGATAAAAGCGAAGCACTAGTCTGGACAAACACCATTGATCTTAAATAATTAGTTGAGAATACGTACGTTTCTTTTGATCGTTTCATCATAGCAAACGAAACAACCCTGTGCGAATTCCGGGGTTGCACCGCCATCTGCGATAAATAATGAAGAAAACCCTGTCGTCTGAGACTGAGAGCAACTGCTTTGTTAAGCTTTTATGAAATGGGGAAAGAAAAATGGCTGATCGAGAAGTACGAGAACCGCTCGACACTTTGAACTTAGGCAATAAATGTTCAGTGAAAAAGTCATATTTTCATCTAATAAAGATTTAGATCAAAACCAGTGATGAGAATTCTAAAGTACAAGTATGTTTCCATCAGAGTTAATAACATTAGTAGCTGCATTCATCAACGATACAGCTTTGTTGGTGTTGAAATTTAAAAGTTAGCAAACAACCATGTGTTAGCTACAATATTTAAAAATAATCAGTGTAATTCTAATCAGTGTATTTCCGAACAATTATGATTGTTGTAAGTGTTTTAAGTTATTGCACCAAATACCAGTTGCAATCTCCTCAAGCACTCCATTTTGTACCTGACAGTTATAAATTTACTCATGGAAATCTAAACTACAATTTTGGAATGATTGACCCTCTGAAAAATTGACAATTTTGGGAGACTTGTCACGCAGCAAGAGCTAAATAATCGTTTCGAGTCTATGCTAAAGCCTTTATAAACTGTGATGGCAGACCTAAAAGATTTGTCGTCAAACTAACATTACCCATAAGAGCCTGGTCTTGATAGAGGTCTGAGAAGCTAAGAGAAGAACAGTTAAATAGACAGACACTTGACTATAAAACACAATAATATATTAAATATAGTTTCACAAAATATAATTTCATCTCAATTCTAAAGTACACTGTCTTCATGGTAAGTAGTGTTTGTCTTAATACTAGGTACAATCTCCAAAAGCACAACACTTTGTCTCGGAGCTATAAATATTCATGACAATTTATATGAGTTTTGAAATGCACGACAACTTTAATAATTTACTATCTTTGTAGACAAGTCACACAGGAAGAGCTGAATGATAGAGTCACACTACATGCTTGATAAAGTATAAACTGTGATTACAGTAAGGGCAACAGAGGATTGATAACTGGGATGCCAAAATTCATATATTTTTGTTATGTAATCTCTAATGGCAATTGATTTCAATAGAAACTAACACAGTAAAACAGGCATTTATAAATATTTGTTCCATCTTACTAGTTATTATCAATCCTCGCCACCCTTGTATTCGAGACTTGTGAGGTACTTGGCCTGAAACTAGCTTCACCAGGCATCAGAACCTGATCATTATAAAGATCAGTGAAGCTAGTAGAACAGTTAACTACAAACATTGAAATTTAGGAAAACAGCCTTCTGAATTAAATATACTTTCAACTCATATAATAAAGAATTTCCATGATTATAACTGATTATAACACCGTCAATTATTATCTTCAAACACTTTGTACTGACAAAAAGCAGCTTAGCTTATTCAAAGAATGCCATTTGGTCCACGAAATTCAGTTGATGAGAAAATTATTGCCTGACTGTCGCCACAAATCAAAATACGACATTGTTTACATCATCGATTGTCACCAACCATTTCACAGTATTATAGACTTGAATATAACTGTAATACCAAAATCTTCTCTGGAAGAATATGAAAAGCCAGAAGCTTCGAATTACAAGCAGGTAAATACAAAGTTACACATAGTAATACCACGAACGACAATAATCAACCGAACGATAATCGACGATCATGCTCAATGAATAGTCACGTGACACTAGCGAGCACCCTACGGTATTTGACGATAGGTAACGATTGTCAAATTTCGATTTGCAGTTTTCCCGCCTTTTTTACTCTTTCTCGTGTGAACTGTACCAACAAGTGCTACTACAAAGTTTCAGCCGCATCAAAAAAAGATTATGGACAATTGGGTTAGAGAAAAACTTGAAGAGTGGAATCTTTCCTGCTTGAAAGATGTTTTTGAAGGTAAATAAATGCAGTGTCTATATTATTTAGTACTTAGCTTTAGCTGTATTCTTTTGTTTTTTAGCTTTTTGTTCTTGAAACGGATGTTTTTCGAATTGCATTTTTTTAGAAAATATGGTTGACGAGGAGGCCTTTCTCATTTTAAACGAAGAAACTTGAAGGAGATGAGGATTCCTATTGGACCACGAATCAAACTATTGAAAAAAATCAAATTTCAGGTATACCAATGCTATCTTAATTCTGAATTTGGACAGTTGAATCGGTACACGAAAAGCCTACCTAGCAACGCCATAGCAACCGTAATTTCAAAGAGAGAACAAACATCTAAAAGCAGTTTTTTATAGTTTCATTCACATATTGTTGTTTCAATGCCGATTTTCAAAGTGTTGATAAGTTTGTACGTACAAAGAAACATGAGATATTATTGGCTTTAGGTGTTTTTACCACCTTTTACGAGATTCAAAACTACAAATTGCCTTGAGTAACATAATTTGAACAGTTAACAAACATAGTTTAAACTCAAACCAACTCAATATTTTTTCTTTGCCCGATAACATTACGACGAAAACTTTAAACAATCGTACGCCAAAATTCTCGAAATGACATCAGTGAAGGTATATATGACTGATGACAACCAACAAATTTAATATCAATAAACAAAAAGAAAGCACCAGGGACATAAAATGAAAAAACTCGCAAGCTTTAGACAAAAAATAGGCTAATTATCACAAAAACATAAATAAAAGTTTCAGAGTTAAGGCTCATTAACAAATGTACCGAATAGTTTTATAACTCAGTTTTTGCAAGGCGGAATTAAGAACAAAAGTATTTTGTGTACAGCTGTGAATATACCATGTTACAAGCAGAGAAAAGACAGTTGCTGGATTACATGGCTACTAACTATGATGACTCAAAGAAATATTTTCCAATAATAAAAAAGTCCATCACTGTTATCTTCTACAAATATGTGTGACTTATGTCTGTACAAACACATTTCTTTAGCTGCTGTTATAAAGAGAAACAAAACGACCTTTTTCTTTGTTACCCTCAACTACACTTTTCAGAGTGCATTTACACATTTTCACTGTACAATTACACTTATTAAAATTAAACACTAAATTACATTGAACAATATAAACATTCTATTGATGCTATTTATTTTATCCAATATAGGCATCTTCAAGTCCCGAGTTCACTTGTCAGCCAAACGAAAACGAGGCAAAGCGTTCAGTAGCAGCAAATCAGTCTATATTTGAGAGCTTTGGGGGCTCAAACTTTTTAATCGAGAAAGAAACCCAGGAATGATTTTGTAAGCATTAACACGTGTAGAGCAATTAAACATCAAACACACTTTTTTATCTTTTTCTTTTTTAAAGAATATCAAATCGATTTTAGAAGAGTCCGAAGTTGGTGTTCAAGTGATTTGCGAACTGGATACGGATAAATTTAGCAGAAAAAGCAGAATCAAGATGGTTCAGATTACATAATTATTCAGTTTGGAGAAAGGTTTGTGAAAATATGAAAGACTAAATTCACCACTTCTACTGCAAAATGTAAGTCTACCTATGATGTCATCGTAACAGTAAAAAATCGTAAAAATAGAAAATCAAAGAGTTGTACAAATTAACACAATAGTAAAATGAGATTTTAGCAATGAAGCATCGTGTTCGAAAAAAAGGTAAATGTTTATACTTTTTAGAAAAAGGTAAATTTTTTAGAGGAAGTAAGCAAAATGTTTCTATGAAATTATCATAATGTGAGATTGAAAATCCGAAATTTGACATTGCTTACATTTACAATGACGTCATAAGTACACATGAACGCTACCGTAAAAGTTCTGAATTGTTCAACATCCAAGTTAAAATTTTAATAATTCTAAAATACAGGCCTCGTGCAGACATCAAAATCCAAATGGCAAAGGCAGTGGTAGAGCAGTTTCCTTTCCTTAAAGACGAAGAGGGTCAAGGATATGTACGTGTTTCTCATTACGTTTAACTTTTGATTTGGAATCAAATGATTTATTTTACAAATGTTTGTTTCTTTCTTGTACGTGATCACTTTTTCAATTTTTAGGAAGCTTGGTACACGCCAGGAAAGGGAATTCATTCTGCTACAGGGTGGTTGGAAGAACGGCTTAGAAATGTTAGGAGAAAGAGCATAAAACACCGTCAGACTGAACAAGACTTTGGCTCAACTTCAACTTCTCTAAAACACTTGACAAGATCTCTACCAGGTTAAATTCATCAATTAAATAGATATTAGAAGTTATTTGATGGTGCTTGTAGAAAATTTGCTTTTTTTTCTTAAAAAGAGCCAGTCTTAAATGAATCTGACCATGCTGGAATGAAGCAGGGGATGAAAGACAACTGGGAGCCTATCTCAACCCTAAAAAGTTATATGCAGAAGACCGTCTTAAATCGATCAGAATGGATTAGAAAAACGCCACAACTTACAATACGAGAGGTTATGAAAGAATACCCTCGTCTTCTTGATGTCCCTGGCACGGTAAAGAAAATTCTTAGACGTTCTTTCGTTATACATCATCTTGTACGGCTAACCAAATGTTTTTCAAAAATTTATTCAGGTTGAAATAGACTATGCAACATTGTATCCAGATGTCGCAGATAATCTTTTTCCGCGATTTACACAAGAAACAGTGGAGAAAATAATTTGTTACGCAGATACACAAACAAAAAAAATGGACAAAATACTTGAATATTGCAACAAGAAACCTGAATTCCGGTAAAAATTGCAAAAATGGTTACATGATGCATGAAACATATGCGATACATGAAATACTTTCTTCATCTAAACTCCAAAAACACTGACTTTTATTTATAAACTACTTTATAGATGAAGAGAAAAGAAATGCTGCGATCGGTCTCCTTCCATGCGTTTTTCCTACTGGAAGAAAGAATAAAAAGAGGTGTACAACTGATGAAGCATTATGTGCTTTTATCGATTGCCAACCGTTATCCATTAAAATCTTTTCATAACTTATTCACAGTACCTAATAATACAAATTTCTCAAAAAAGCACGGGCGTCAATCCATTTTTAATTGAAGGGGACCATATTCTTATATTCTGTCATGCCAGCCTGATTTCTTTTGCAAGGGAAATTGTTTTGAAAAGAAATTAGACTGGTGTATGAGTATATGAATATGTTTGTCCCCCCGCATTAAAGCAAGATTGCTGCCATTGCAAAAAAAAGACATAACAAAACCATGCATTATTGATTTTTGGCACTTTATAGCATTGTCTCGTGCTGTTGTCAGTAAAATGTTTGAAAATATGAGCATTTTTTTCCCTGAGAAAGTTTTCCTTAAGTCCTATGAAACAGTGACAAAAATCAATTATTTACAAAAAGACGAAAGTCAATATATGCATGGACTGTTTTGCACAAAATGCTAGATCATCACCATTGTCAAAAATTTCGGTACCAGCCCTGCTAGAGAACAATAAAGTAGCAAAATCACTAAAAATTTGGCTTAGTTTTTTTATTTTATTTTTTCTGATCATTTCTTCCAACAGTAGCTATATATTGACACTTTTAGATACACCATATAAGTAGACGCATAATCAAACTCGTGTATTTGATGTAAAGTCTCAAGTCCACTGTTTAATTATTTTTAGGTCGGTACAAACATAACTAAATATTTAGAAACAGCCTCAAGATGGCCGTTTGTTTTAGCAATTGGTAGTCAATGCAACCCAACGCAAGTGTTCGTTATAATCGAAAGCCAGGGCTTGGAGCAGCCTAATCTTGTGAGGGCAATTGATGTTTGCTTTAAACTATTTTACGTACTTGATGTTAATTACTCATGGCAGAGCTGTTCGTCGTGGGAGTTTATACAAAAGGTTTTGTATGGCATTGAGGACCATAGAAAACAGAAGACTACACCTGCTGTTGTTGCAATGAGAGCAGCATTAAAGTAATCAGACCATTGACGCTAAAAATATATTGATATAAATCTAAACTTCTCCAGCTATTGCATGTACCTGTTGTTAATACACATGATACTTGTCTATCTTCTGTTTGTAGTTTTTACTAAATGTGAGTTGTGTCTGTGCAATGTTTTTTTTAAATAAATGTACTTTTTGAGCATAAATATACTCTCTCAATGAATCACTAAGAATCGCACAGGAATTTAACAAGGCAACTAGTTAATTTTAACTGGGACAAGAGTCAAAATTTTAACATTAGGTCGTGGTTGAATTTAACCAGAATAAGGGTTAATTAATTTAACCCCGATTCCTTGTTAAAATAACCAGGATTGCGTTGGTCCCACTTGGAATACTTTCCTGGTTAAGATTTAACCCCATCCTGGTTATTTTTAACCAGGATGTTTTTAGAGTATAGGTTATTGGGAAAGTTGTCTTTACACCTGACTGTCCCTTTTTTTTCTTTCTTTTTCTTTTTCAAGCTAGTAGTTTGAAAAATATCATGGATATTTTAAACATTGTTATTATACTATTACTTAATAATAATATACTTTTAAATATTTGACGATACATTCTAATTCGGTCTCATTTCATTGCTCTCTATTCTTGACTTGCAATTCAGCTATGTTGGTGATGTGATACAAAACAATATTTTATCAGTGTTTTTGTTTGCACCAGCCGACGTGAACGAGCAACATTGTTTGGTAGATCTCAAGAGAATGGTTTCAAACCATGAATGGCTCAGAAAAGCCTCGTTACGGGGTCTAACAGTTCACCCAAAAAACAGTGCTTGCTATTTTGTTTTTAATCTTTGCTTTCTTTTAAATTCTTGAATTTCAAGCGATTGCAACTGCAGAAATATGTTTTACTTACAACTGCCGAAGAATTTTTTCGCATGATTCAGCCGTAATTAAGTGATCTTCTTTGAGGATTTAATGTTAAGGAATTTTCAATTTGCAGTGGCCTCAGCGACATAAGGATAAAGACAAAAAAGACAAAAGACTTTCTTTTATTTCCTCCAATCTCTTGAGAATATGCTTTGCTTTGTTTTATCGTTTGTGCTTATGTCAATAGTGAAAACTAGGCTTTAGTGTATTCAATTGCATTTACGGCTCTTTTGGGATAAATTACTGCAGAATCATACCAATTCTAAATGCCGGCTGGTTTCAAAGCTTAGCAGCTTTTTAGAGATACCCTGTATAGTAAGTAAAATAACATACTTTCGGGACAATAGATGTGAGCAACCAATATCTGCATAGCCAACATGCAGATTCACTCCTGCTTTAGAAGAGTTAAATTGTATTACGTCTTTTTGCATGCAGATTTAACCCAAGAGAGGTTAAGCATTGTTGTTGTTGTTGTCTAAAAGCACTCGAGAAAAACAGCCTTCCAAACACAAACAATCTAATTCATTTATATATGTAAATTCTAAAAGATTCTATTATCATTTTGTTAGAAATCTATCGTTCTCATGGTCAGTAAACACGAAAATATTTGCATAGCGAGTGTAAAAACTATAAAAGTCTAGTTGAGTACGCTACCAGCCATCAAAGTAGTCAGTGGTTAAAATAAATATCACAAAGTCTTCCTTGCTCCCGAGAACTCCTAAAGAAGACGACTTCAGGGTAGATCAATGAGCTTTCGAATTACTTATATTGGGCAACAGGAGATTGAAATTTCCACCGTAAACATTGACGACATACTCGAAGATGCATACTCAAAATATAAGAAAGATGTTGAGATTGCTGACTTTCTAGCAATTGTTGGTTATGATGATCTCCATTTTCGCAATCTCGTAAATTATGATATCGATATTGCCATACCTCTGGCAAGCATCCAATCAGTTTGCGATACATACAAGCATGTAAAATATCCACAGGCTGTAATTGTCGTGTGTACTTCGCCAACCGAAAACTCAGCTATTGCTCACGTACTACACTGTGAAAGTAAAATTGGTGCAATAGAACTTTCCTGTGATATTGCTCGTGGGACGAAAGGTGCAAAAGAAAAAGAAGTGGATGAGGCGAAGCCACTACTTCAAGGAAAATCCACTGCAAAATCCTGTCCACCTGAAGATACTAAATGCTTATTAGATAGAGGTGACTCAGAAGATATCTCGGAGGATGAGTCTTCGAGCTCGGCAAATAAACAGTCATGTAGCAAAATTAAATGGACATTTAAACGGAAAACTAAATAAATGGGCATTTAAACGGAAAACTTCTTGAGTACTAACTCTTTATTTTTCTAATTTATAATAAATATGATTTAGCATGTTGAATGTACAATTCCACCACTACTTTACAAAGTACATTCCAATACTACAAAGTATATAGGTTATAATTTGCTGTTTGTAAGAGTAACATGAATTAATGAGAAGTGAAGGACCATAATCTCTAATCAGGGCATGTAATTTTTCATTTTTGTTGCACTCTCGTGCGCCCCCTCTAATATCTATTTTTTTGTGTGTACAATAAATTTGTTATATTTTCATAGTAATCCATAATCTTTTGCTAGTTTTCAATTATGAGTTGATGATTTAAATGCCAAGCGTATCAAGCAGGGAGCTCGAAAGCTTTTATCAGGTTGTGTAGCAACCAAGGTTAATATCGGAGGAATAAGCTGGGATCTGGGACTGAATTACGTAAGAAGGTATGTAAGTGACCGTGTGTAAATGAGCTGGTCATTTTTCGATGCATTCGTTAGTAGGAGCTTCTGCATTTTTTCCCATCCATATGTCTTCTAACATTTCCATGGAAATGTATTCGATGTGGTATGGTGCAAGGATGTGGTAGTCAGGTCGAGAATGTGAGTTACTCTATTCAAACGATGGCACTTGCTTTAGTCTTTTTGTAAAACAGCATCTTAGAGTTGTTGTGTTGACAGTAGAGTTATCTGATTTCATAATAAGGCAGTGAAGTGTCTAGAAAATGAGTTTCGTAGTCGCAACTGAAAATGATTCTGTGTTCATATTATAAGTAAATGTGTAAACTTTAATAGTAATAAAATTTGTTGCCTAGTGATTGACACAAACAAAGTAAAGGACTTTAATGAAAGATGACATCATCTTAAGGTTTGAGTCAATAGATTTTAATAAAAAATGACATCATCAAAAGGCTTGAGTTAAAGGACTTTAATGAAAGATGACATCATCTTAAGGTTCGAGAGACAAAATTTTTACAATTTCTCAAAAACAGCGTAATAATGTACAATACAGAGATAAACTATATAATCTCAATCACCTTCGGTAAACTCGGTATGTTGCTATCAAGGAAAAAATAAATAAATGTAAAGTGCTGAATCAGCACTACTTTTCATTCCATCTGACTGCCTTTACTAAGAGCAAGGGAATTATTAAAATTTTTCGTGCATTTCAAAAGCCATGAACATTAATTTTACTGTACGTTTATGGCAAAGATACGCTTTCAGAGAAGGCAACAGATCAATAATTGGGGGGGGGAGTAATATTTATACATGCCTGTTCTACTTTATTGGTCTTTATTGAAATCAATTCTGACAAAGGGTTGTAAGCAATTAATAATTGAATCTGTGTCATAAGTGAATCATTGCTGAGGGGGTAAATATTCATATATAAATTATTTCCGTAATTTGCTGGAAGTTATTTGCTACAAGAAAAATGTGATTTTTAATGGCTGCAAACTAAATAAGCACAAACATTACCATTACTGAAGTAAATTTAATGTGTCAAAACATAATACTTTAAACAGAATATTGTAATGCTAATTTCATTCGTCTTGGTGACATGTGCACAAAATGTTGAAGTCGATTTCTATGTCTGTAACCCTTCCATTATTTCAGATTTGACTGACATAAACATAAGACTTTAAAGCTATTCTTGGTTAGGACATTAGGACGTAAATAAAGTCGTTAGAACGTTAGGACGTGAATAAATTCCCAAACCAAAGTGTCAAAGTGCGCTTAGTAGCCACTGTAGGTAATATTCTCTGCTGTTAGACTTTAAAAAAAGTTGTAAACAAGTTTTGGATTAAACCAGTTGAAATTACATGGTAGTAGTATAAGTAGACAACTAGGTATCACCCCTTCCGTCTTAATTTCTATCCTGATTTCTCCCATTTGCGAAGGCATTGCCTCTGTTCATCGGGGGTGAGCCCTTCTTTCTTCACTATCTATGCCACTGCTTTTTCGCATCTAATTGATGGGCGACTGTTATCATCAAACTGAAATCAATTGATGAGCGACTGTTATCATCAAACGAGCGTCTATCGTGCGACCCAAAGTTTGAAAAAACTGTCGCAAGACCTATAAGCAAGAGTGACCAAAATCTTCCGCCATTACTTCAGTATGCGGTAATTAAAGAAATTTTAATTTCATTTAAAAAATAAAGTATGTTTACAGTGCTTGTGCCACTTTTGCACAAGCTTAGGCAAACCGAGGAGAACTTTGGGAGAATTTAAGAGCTGATCAGTGTAACCCCCTGAACAGTTAACATATATAGATCGTATAGATCAATCAGTGCACACGTTTTATTAGATTGTATAGATCATATTTTAGATCACATAGATCATATAGATCACATAGATCATATAGATCACGTTTTATTTGATTGTATAGATTATATAGATTGTATAGATAAATAAGTGCACACATTTTATTATTTTTATTTTAGAAATTTACATATTTAAGACTACTATTCTGATAATCAACAAATTTTAAATATAAAAAGCGGTGTACTTTTATTGCTTGGCACTAAAATCATGCATTAAAGAATGTGTGTCAACCGTGGTGGCGGCCATTTTTTGAGTCGAGAAAATGGCGGATTTTGTTATTGTTGTCCATTAAACTTAGACATACCATATGAAATAATGTGAAATGGAGTTTTTAATCAGTGTTTTTTCTAACTTTTCAGATAAATTAGACAACATAGTGAATGACAAAATTTAATTCAGTGTGCCACAAACACAAAAAGTAACGATATACGTATGTAAACATAAACAAAAGTGTGCAATGCATCTTGG